GGATGCTACCACTGTCATAAATGCGACCATATGCCAAGTGCCTGGATTGTGATCAAATTACTGCAGGGACACTGCAAATAGCAATAGCACTTAGACCAGTGATCGCTAACCTTTTTGCCGTCGCATGCCAAAAGCAGGGGGAACATGGGGGGTCGCGGGTGCCCACATAATTCAATGTGCCCCGTCCTCCCGCACATGCACACGTGACTCCCCCACACTTCCCCCTGCTTTTGGCACGCGATGGCACGGTGGGCCTGTTTTTCCCCCTCCCCAGGCTCCAGAGGCTTTATAGGAGCCTGAGGAGGGCAAAAACAGCCTTCCCCATCTCCCGGAGGCCTTCCGGAGGCCGGAAACAGCCAGTTTCCCAATTTCTGGTAGGACCGGAAGGCCTGAAAATCAGTTGGCCAGCGCACGCATGCGTGCTGGAGCTGAGCTAGGGCAACACTCGCGTGCCCACCAATATGCCACCTGTGGCACCCGTGCCATAGGTTCACCATCACGGACTTAGACCTATATACCGCTTCACAGTGCTTTTACAGCCCTCTCTGAGCAGTTTACAGAATCAGCATATTGCCCCCAACAATCTGGGTCCTTATTTTGCCGACCTCGGAAGGATGGAAGGCTGAGTCAACCTTGAGCCGGTGGGACTTGAACTGCCAAACTGCTGGCAATCAGCAGTCAGCACTCTAACCACTGCGCCACCACAGCAAACAGTCATAAGTGGGAAGACTGGTCCTACGTCATTATTTTTTTCAGCCCCGCTGTAATTTCAAATGTTTTGCTAAATGAATGGTCGAAAGTCACGGATTATCTGTATTTACAAACACCAGCATGACAACGAACAGCTTTATCTGCAAGAGCAACTCACAGCTGACATGGAAGCCCCACTGCAGAATATACACACTTCTTCTACTTAGAATTACAAAATAAAACGGCTGTAGTGCAAGCCACGATCCAATTGGAATAGCACTGCCTTAGGGATGTATAGGGTTTGTGTTGGATGAGAGTCCTAGGCACGGACTACACCCATACAGACAAAAATCTCTGAGAAATTAGTTTGTATGTTCAGAAAAAGCTCCATCCAAAAGCCAATATTTAGAATTGGCCGACAAAAGGAAAATAACTGAACATTATAGAATGCATGTAAAGAATGTTGTACCTTACAAACTGCCAACTGATAGTTAGAACTGCAGAAAAACCAACTGCAACCAGTCTGCCTTCCACTGTGGACGTGTTCACTACATGAGCCAGAAAGAGGGCTGAGAAAATGTTTACAGACCCTCTCACATCCTGGAAATAAACCGTTTCAACTCCTCCCTCTAAGGACGCGGCTACAGGGCATTGCATGCCAAAACTGCTAGACACAAAGACAGTTCCCCCCCACCCCCCGTGCCATCACTCTGCTAAACACCTAATTCCCATAGCAGTCTTATGCCTAAGGATATTTACCTACGGTATGTAATACATACATACTATACTATTATCCTTCTCATCTTTCCTATTACTTTCTCCTATTGGCAACTTATGATTGTATTACCTCGTTGTTTGTGTGTACTTTGAGAGCTTATGCACCAGGAAACAAATTCCTTACGTGTCTAATCAAATTTGGCCAATAAAGAATTCTATTCTTATTATCAGTGATAGTGCAATGGTTAGCATGCAGTATTGCAGGCAAAGTCTGCCGACTGCTAGCATTTCAATCCTGCTCTGCTCAAAGTTGACTCAGTCTTCCATCCTTCCGAGGTCGGTAAAATGAGGAGCCAGACTGTTGGGGCAATATGTTGACTCTGTAAACCACTTAGTGCCGTAAAGCACTATGAAGCAGTATATACCGGTAAGTTTCAATTCAAATTCAAATTCTATGCTATGCTGTTCTCAGGCTCACAGGGAAAAAAAGCTAATTTCTTTTACCTTACAGCATAGGATTTCAGTCTTGAAAAATACTTCAAGTTCGAAACATACTGTAAGAAAAATCAAGACTGTCTTTGCCGAGAACCTCCAAGATAAAATAAGAAAAAGATGCATTCATTTAAGGAGAATTTGAATGAGCCAAAAAAGCTCTTCAATTATGAAGAACATTTATATAATCTGGAAATCTTGGATGCTTAGGTAGAAAATAAAAGGTTTCAATCTATTTTATATTGAGAGTTCCCAGCAAGGTGCAGCAATTGGATGTCTCATTATGCAAGTTTTGTGTATTACCTAGAATTGTGGAATAAGCAACAATTGTTCTGATGATCGAAGACGCAAAATTTTTTAAATGCATTGTAAGCCGCCCTGAGTCTCTGGAGAAAGGCAGCATATAAATTGAACTAATAATAATAATAATAAAATCCAAAACAAGCAACCCGTATTATGCTTGTGCGTGACGTATAAATGCTTTCACACACTTTCTATACCAGACTTGCCAACCTAGAAGCTTCAACTTCCATAGCCAACAACCAGTAAGGATGGAAAGGCTCTTCCATTTATGGTGGTTTCAGAACTACCTTTCCACAGCAAACATGTTTCCTGTGGATGGAAGAGGTACCCTAAAATATGAGTCCTACCTGTGCAATAGAGAAGATGCAAGCATTTCATAGTATTTGAGGTAAGGGTCAATGATTTCCCTTGAGGAAAGGAAAACTCCAAGTCATAGGGAGCCCAAAATGCAGCTTTCATGTTTATAAACCCTGATTGGATTCATACATTAAAATATGACTTGTCAGTTGGTGGCATGTCATTAATGCTGTGTGCCAGCAAATACAGTTTCGTATCTGTTTAATATGTAATTTAGTACCTAAAAAAATTATTGCATACATCTAGCCACTTAGGTTAAATCAACAGTGTTGTCTTCTGCTTTCTGGGAAGGCTTCAAACATATGGCATTAATTAATTAGATTGTCCTGCCTTTATTACTTTACCTTCCTCTTCCTATTTTCCACACAACAATCCTGGGAGGTGGGTTGGGCTGAGAGCGACTGGATCAATACCACCAAGCTAGCCTTCATGCTGCCCAAGATAGGACTAGAACTCACCCATCTCCTGGTTTCAAGGCCAGAACCTCCCCCCCGTCTGGCTTTCATTATTAATTCCCTGCCCATCACAACCACAGCAAAAGAATTCTGAGAGACCAAAATCTGTACAACTAAAAGAGGCCGAGTGTGGGGGGAAAAGGTGGCCGAACATATTGTGTGAATGCGGATTATTAACCCCCAAAGGAAGATCGTGCCACTTTCCCTCCTCTTTTCTAGCGGTGCCATTTGTGGAACACAACTCATCAAAGGTGTCAAAATGTGGTTTCCTTTTTTTTTTTTTTTTAATTTTCTTTAAGTTTACAAGTAGCGAAGAAGAAAAAGAAAGAACGTCACCACACCTAACCCCCCACACCTCCATTGTACACAAATTTGCAGGCGTCCCCATCCCATAAGAAACAAGAGAGAAACTTGCCAACTTTGACCAATTTCTTCCTCTTAAGATTGCCAGAAACAATTTTTCTTCTTCTACTGGTACCAATTTTTCTTTTTTTAAAAAAGAAGTAGTGGAGAACTCACATGTCCCCATATCACTAGATTTCTCCCCCATTCTACTTTTTTTTTTTAATTATTATTATTTCTCTCTTCCTTAATTGGGAAAGTAGCCCATTCCCCCAAAGTCCAATTCTTCCTCCGGCCAAAACATCTGACATATGTTCACTTAAAAAGAGGGAGAGAGGGAGGGGAAAAGGGGTCCGGAAGGGAAGAAGGCAGGAAATAAATACTTGCGAAGAGGAATAACCCAACCCACCCTTTTCGTTCCCGTTACCCCACGAGAAAGATTGCTTTCTCTCCTTCTTCTCCCCCCTCACCCCGACTTGTGGGGATTGGGGAGATGCGAGGGCACCGGGACCTTCCACTCTTTTGGGTGGGTGGGGGAAGGACACGGGTTGAAGTGAGGGGGAAGGCGGAGAGAGAAGCCGAAAGGAACCCATCACACACACACACACCCCTAAACACGCGTCAGGCGTGTCTCACAACACGGCAAGTAAGCCAGGACACAGGTGTCTGGAGCTGCTCGTGTGAACCCAGTGCAGCAATTGATGATTTACTGAGTGGTTGAAGGACACGGGTTGGCGGAGAAAGAAGCCAAAAGGAACCCATCACACACACACACACGGGTTGGGCGGGTTCTCACAACACGCCAAGTAAGCCAGGACACGGGTGTCTGGAACTGCTGGTGTGAACCCAGTGCAGCAATTGATGATTTACTGAGTGGGTGAAGGACACGGGTTGAAGTGAGGGGGAAGGCGGAGAGAGAAGCTGAAAGGAACCCATCACACACACACACACACACCTAAACACGCGTCGGGCGGGTTCTCACAACACCCCAAGTAAGCCAGGACACGGATGTCTGGAGCTGCTTGTGTGAACCCAGCGCGGCGATTGATTATTTATTGGGTGAGTGGGTGGGTGGGTGGGGGAAGGACACGGGTTGAAGTGAGGAGAAGAAGAAGAAGAAGAAGAATTTTATTTCTATACCGCCCTTCTCCCCAAGGACTCAGGGCGGTGTACAGCCTACTAAAAGCACAAGACAAACATCCATTAAAATAATTTAAAATTATTAAAATAATTCGGCTCAATTTAAAACCCCAGAAAGTGAGGAGAAAGGCGGAGAGAGAAGCCGAAAGGAACCCATCACACACATACACACCAACACACGCGGGTCGGGCGGGTTCTCACAACACGCCAAGTAAGCCAGGACACGGGTTTCTGGAGCTGCTCGTGTGAACCCAGCGCGGCGATTTTGATGACTGATTGAGTGGGTGAGTGGGCTGCGACTGCCTGCCCAGCCTGTTGCACGAGCGCGGCCAGTCCGGGTGATGAATCCCGAGGAAAAGTCTCCGCCGCCGCTTGCCCGGTAATCGCCTTCCCGAAGAATCCCACCCCCGCGTCCTCCATACGGAGCCGCGCGGCCGCAACAAGCCGAGAGACCAGCCCCTTCCGACGCCTCGGGGGTTTCCTTGCGAGGAAGCCCGCACTTACTGCCGGGGCGATGCCTCCCCTTGGGAAGATCCGGCGCTCGCTCTCTGCCTGCCGCCGCCGCTGCTCTGGATCCCCCCGCTGCCGCCGCCTCCGGGTCAACGCTCCCGCCGGCGGTCTCCGCGATCGTCGACGGACTGAGGGCGGCCCTCCCTCCCTCCTTCTCCCTCCCTCCCTCTCGAGAACGGTCTGAGAGGCGACGCGCTGAAGGCGAGCAACGCCTCATGACCCGCCCCTCCCCCCTCCTCCTCCTCTCTCTCTCTCTCTCTCTCTCTCTCTCCCCCTCCGCCTCGGCCCAATCGCCTTTCGAGGCGAGGAAAAAAGGGGCGGGCCGTTCGAGAGATGGGGCGGAGGCGGCGCCCAAGCCGGCCAATCGGAAGCCGGACGCTCTCGACGTCATTGGGCGCAGAGTGGTGGCAAATTCACAAAACCCGGGAAAGGGGGCGGGGCCGTGGTGGTGGGTGGGGAGGAGATGTGCGAGCAAAAAAGCGGGGAGACAGAGAAAGCAAAATGCAGGGTTAGTTTAATTCAGGGGGTCCCCAAACTTGCAGCTTAAAGACTTGTGGACTTCAAGTCTTATTATGGGGGGGGGGGAGGGGGGGGTGGGAGGAAAAAGCGGGGCGGCTGCAGGAACCGGAGAAAGCAAAATACAGGGTTAGTTTAGTTCAGGGGGTCCCCAAACTTGCAGCTTTAAGACTTGTGGACTTCAACTCCCAGAATTCTCCAGCCAGCATAGCTGGCTGGAGAATTCTGGGAGTTGAAGTCCACAAGTCTTAAACCTGCCAAGTTTGAAGACCTCTGGTTTAGTTAGTGCTTGGGTTCCTCTGCTTTGGTGACTGTGGTTTTAACTGTGGTTTGTGGGCCAAGCCATAGGCTGAAATCAAAGCCTCCCCAAACATCTTGATTTGCTAACTTCAGTGAATGAGTTCACGTCCGTCTGTTCAAAGGGGCCAGTGTGGAGTCCTGGGTGCTCTGTGAGGGGGTGGGGGGGGGGGGGGGTGTCTCCAACCTTGGCTTTGCTTTGCTTTTCTGGCTGGGGAATTCTGGGAGTTGAAGTCCGCCAGACTTAAAGCTGCCTAAGTTGGCGATCCCTGCTCTGTGAGATTTATTATTTAAGTAGTCATCTATCTCTTCAGCTTCAACCACAACAATTCATGAGCAAATAATAGATACAAACTCAAGGTAAACCGTTCCAAACTCGATTGCAGAAAATACGCCTTCAGTAACAGAGTGGTCAATGCCTGGAATGCACTACCTGACTCTAGTTTCTTCCCCAACCCCCCAAAAATTTAACCTTAAACTGTCTACTGTTGACCTCACCCCATTCCTAAGAGGTCTGTAAAGGGTGTGTATAAGCGCACCAGCATGCCTACCATCCCTGTCCTAATATTCCTTTTTACTTACTCTTTTCATGTATTCAAATTTTGTTTATACTTTTACCTGTTATCTTATATATGCGTAACAACTAAACTTATGATATGATTTGTTTGTTTGCTTGCAGCCTCTTGCAAAAAAAGCACCTTTGGATTTGCTTGCAGACTTTTCATTACCTGACTAGGTAACACATTACTGATGTTGTTACCTAGTCGGGTAATAAAATGTCTGCAAGCAATCAGCACCACGGACCCTACAGTCCAATCCAGAGTAATGTACATTTTTTTCTATTAGTCTGGAAGTTTTCTGAACAAACCCAGCAGGAAGTGCTGCCCTGCAGCCTTCGGAGAGGGGTGGCATACAAATTGAATTAATAAATTAATTAATAAATAAGTGGTGAGGTTAGTTTAGGGCTTAGCCTATTGCACAAAACCCCTGGAAAATGGATTAAGAAACCAAACAGTGGTTAACATGTGTGTGTGTTGGGCAAACACAACCTATGTATGCATTGGAGGATCTCAAAATTCCATTATTAATCAAAGCAGATTCTGTGCCAATTTCTCACACCAGATCTAAAGAACAAGCAATACAGCTAGTCCTTGACTTATGACCACAATTGAACCATCTGTTAAGTGAGACATTTGTTAAGTGAGTTTTGCCCCATTTTATGACCTTTTTTGCCACAATTTTGCCACAAGTGAATTACTGCAGTTGTTAGTAACACAAGAAGTGATTCTGGCTTCCCCATTGACTGTGTTTGTCAGATGGTTGCAAAAGGTGCTTGGGACACCACAACTGTCATAAATGAGAGCCAGTTGCCAAGCATCTGAAATTTGTGCACGTAACTATGGGGATGCTGCAACAGTCATTAGTGTGAAAAATGACAATAAGTCCCTTTTTTCAGCGCCATTGTAACTTTGAATAGTCACAAAATGAACTGTTGCAAATTGAGGACTAGCTGTACATCCTGGGAATATAAGAAATGAATAAACCTCAGTAAATTACTTCAAATGTTGGGATTCATTGGCTGCTTCTGAATTAATTTTTTTTTAATTTAATTTTTAAACAAACATACATAAAAGCATAAAGCCATCTTCAATTACACACAGTGTGTCGGTTGGTTACAAGTCTTTTGTGTGTCTTCACCATATTCATAGCTTACAGTTTACCTAAATTCTCATATCAATCTGATATATATCTATGTATTATTATTCTCATTTATCATGTATTTGACTATAGCTATTCCTCCCTCATTTTGTACAAATATTCTAAGATTTGAGTTAATTTGTATTATAACTTTCATTTCATCCTAAATCGATCCAATAATAATACATCTTTATGTTATATTTTATATAATTCTACAATTCTTGTATTATAAAAATCTCTATCATATTTCATTTCCATATTTTTTAATCTAACCATTGATAAAATAAGTCCCATATCTTATAATATTGTTTATCTTCTTGTTCTCTAATTTCATACCTAATATTCCTTCCTCTTCCTATTTTTCCCCCACAATCAAAACCCTGTGAGAAAGGAACTGGCCCAAAAGTCATACAGCTGATTTTTATTTAATCTTTATTTGTTTGAGAAAGATAGCTTATCCCAATTCTAATCCACTGATTAAACCAAACAGTTAATGCATAACAATTTCCAATATATCAACATCTGTTGCTTCTTTTGGTTTCTTAACTATCTGCAAATGCCACAGCAGAAAAATGACTCTTGCTATCAGTTTTGCTTTGGATCTGGATAAGAGATGCTTCCTACTTTTTTGCTGAAGCCAAATCTGGCCACAAAGATCACTTGGAATGGGGAGTGACAATAGCCTTCAGAACACCTTCAAGGTTCATATAAAATGGCATATCGAGTGCAGAATCATTTTGTTTAGTTAATCCCATTTTTCCTCTAGGGGAGGCTGCCGCCTTCTTGTGCCATATCCGTCATCAGATGTTCAACAGCCACACAAAACTTTTTTATGGTTTTGATGCTTTCCCAGGAGGCTTATCACTTCCTCATTTCTGATTTTGTCAACCCAACTTGTACGTAACAGCCGCTTGTAAATCCACATTTCAAATGTTTCTTCAAGTGGCTTTCTATCAGAGACCAACTCTCCACTCCAGGGGAGGCCTAGAACTCACTATCTCCTGGTTTCTGGGCCAGCACCTTCATTATTCCACCAAACTGTTTTTAAGCTTCATTAAAACACAACTACATCTACCCAACCCACCAAATTAGGGAGACAGGGTGTGTTATGGATCCCTCCAGCAAGGAGGTCCATCTAGTGAAATGGTATAGGATCTTCTGCTTGAGTAGGGGGCTGGACTAGAAGACCTCCAAGGTCCCTCCCAGCTCTATTCAGATTCTTAGTGCAGGGGTAGGGAATGATGGCCCTTTTATGACTTGTGGACTTCACCTCCCAGAATTCCGGAGCCAGCCATACTGGCTCAAGAATTCTGGGAGCTGAAGTCCACAAGTCACAAAGGGGCCATCATTCCCCACCTCTGATCTAATGGCATCAAGAAGAAGGACTTTTTCTGTCATAGCTCCCTCCCTGTGGAACATCATCTCTGTGGAGATAAGACTGGCCTCCATCTTGATAATCTTCCAAAAGGTCCTGAAGATATGGTTTTGCCAGCAGGCCTGGGAGATCCAGGTGGATATGAAGCCCCTCAAATGGTTTGTCGGAATGTTGTCGCAAAGGCAGTGGAGGGCGAGTATTGGTTTTTTTATTTGGTGTTTTATTCCTGTAAGCCTCCTGGAATCACTGTGAGTTAGGCAGACATATACATTTTTTTTAAAAATTTGATTTATATGCCGCCCTTCTCCGGAGACTCAGGGCGGCTTACAATGTGTTAAGCAATAGCCTTCATTCTTTTTGTATATTTATACAAAGTCAGCTTATTGCCCCCACAAACTGGGTCCTCATTTCACCTACCTTAGAAAGGATGGAAGGCTGAGTCAACCTTGAGCCTTGGAGAGATTCGAACCAGCAGAAATTGCAGGCAGCTGTGTTAATAACAGGGTGCATTAAACCACTGTACTATCAAGGCTCTTAATAAATAAAAAATTTCTCAGCCCCCAATGTGTGCATTTAAGTCATCAAGAGCTGTGCTACTACATAATTAAAAGTATTATTAAGCATACTAAGGGGCTTAAGCTCTGTACAACTTTCCCAGTGGTTCAAATTTCAAGGAAGATTTTTTTTCAGGGGCAGAGGCACATACTTCAATACAAAATGTATTATTCTAACACCGGCCAGTAGGCTCCCTTAGAGAGGGGCTCCTCAGGGTGCCGTCGGCCAAACAGTGTCGACTGGCGGCCCCCAAGGGGAGAGCCTTCTCTGTGGGGGCACCTGCCATCTGGAATGAGCTCCCCCGGAGATACGGAGGATCCCGGATTTACACACCTTCCGCCGTGCCTTCAAGACCTTTTTATTTCAACAGGCTGGCCTGGCCTAACTTCCCTTTTAATTGTAATTTTTAAATTTTCAAATTTTGTTTTAAAACATTAGGGGTGTTTTAATTTGTTTTGGGCCAAATTATTTAATGGGTTTTATATTGTCTTTTAAATTTTGTAGTTTGTGTGTTTTATCTTTTTGGCTGTTCACCGCCCTGAGTCCTTCGGGAGTAGGGCGGTATATAAATCCAAAAATAAATAAATAAATTCACACAGATAGACGCTGAGGTGTTGGTGCCT